CTCAAGTTTATCAAGACATTTTGCTGGAGAACTTAAGGCCATCTGTCCACCAATTGAAGCTCAACAGAAGATGGGTGATGCAACAGGACAACGACCCAAAGCACAGAAGTAAATCAACAAGAGAATGGCTTCAACAGAAGAAAATAGGCCTTCTGGAGTGGCCCAGTCAGAGTCCTGACCTCAACCCAATTGAGATGCTGTAGCATGACCTCAAGAGAGCGATTCACACCAGACATCCCAAGAATATTGCTGAACTGAAACAGTTTTGTGAAGAGGAATGGTCAAAAATTCCTCCTGACCGTTGTGCAGGTCTGATATGCAATTATAGGAAACGTTTGGTTGAGGTTATTGCTGCCACAGGAGGGTCAACCAGTTATTCAATCCAAGGGTTCACATACTTTTCCCACCCTGCACGGTGAATGTTTACATGGTGTGTTCAATAAAAACATAAAAACATATAATTGTTTGTGTGGTTTTAGCTTAAGCAGACTGTGTTTGTCTATTGTTGTGACTTAGATGAAGATCAGAACACATTTTATGACCAATTTATGCAGAAATCCAGGTAGTTCCAAAGGGTTCACATACTTTTTCTTGCAACTGTATATGTTTGATTTAATTGATAAAGGCAACAATACTCATCTATTCACGCTGTGTAAAAGATGGGATGGCATGCCCGTATAAAAAAATAAATCAACAATGTCTAAATGGTTAAATTTGAATGTGTAGTAATAACCTTCAACTAAATAAAACGTCTTTGAAATGCTCCTTTGACAAATAAAAAACTTTGATAAAAATAATTTAGATTTTAATCTGACATCTTCTTTGCCACTCTAAATTGAACATGTTCAATGAGATACATTTTCATAAAGGCAATGTTTCTCTCCTCCACCCCACTCAGAGCTCCAGCCCTCAGAGCATCTGATGGTGGAGGGCTCCATCTGGCTGCCGCTCAATGTGGCCTCCAACGGCAACGCCTCCAGCAGCTCGCAGGCTGTCGGCGTGACCAAGATCGCCAAGTCGGTCATCGCCCCTCTGGCCCAGCAGCACGTCTCTGTCTTCATGCTATCCACCTATCAGACCGACTTCATCCTGGTGAGCCCTGTCTACTTGCATACTTTTATTTCTGCTCCACTCGATTGCACTCCAGCCTTAGTACCTTGTTAAAACAAAAGAGGCGCAGTAGGACGTTGTATAATTTATAGACGTCTGGAGCAGTTTTTCAAAATCTAAACGTATACAAAAAACTCCAGACTTGTAATCTCGCAGTGAAGCCTTTCACCTACTGAGCTCTGCCAGACAAAAGAAGTATTTTTGTCCACTCTGCAATAATGTGAAAGAATGAATTCCCAACTGAGCTGATGGCACTAAAAAGTTAGTTGTTGTATTACTTGTGAAAGTGTTAAGTGGGCAAAAATAGATAACAACTTGACAGACGTTTGTGTCAGCAAGTTTAATAATAATGTCTGAAAGTGAACCAGTGTTGGCTGAAACTACATGATGTACACTGACTACACAATACACTCACCGTAGATTAAACAATATTCATGATCCACATCTTTGTTGTGTAGGTGAAAGAGAAAGACCTGTCTGTAGTCATCAGCACTCTGGAGGAGGAGTTCAATATCTACAAGGAGGTGGGAGGAGAGTCGGTCCCCATGCACTGTCAGGATGTCCCCAACGGCCTCCAGAAGAACGGCAAAGAAGGTAGAGGTCACTTTGTTCGATATGAGCTCACTTACCTCTCAGGTATTGATCAAGCTCGTCTCAGTGGAGAAAGTTAAAGGGGCCCTATTGTGCTCCTTTCAGGTTTTATAATTGTATTGTGTGTCTCTACTGGGACATGTCTCCGTGCTTTAATGTTCAAAAAGCTCTTTATTGTTCTCACACTGCCTGTGCTGCAGCACCTCCTTTCACCCTCTGTCTGAAACCAGACCCCAGTCTGCTCTGATTGGTTAGCTGGCCGGCTCTGTTGTGATTGGTCAACGGCTTATAGATGTCCTGCCCATGGATGTATAATAAGAACTGGATACAGCGTGGGAGGCGGGGCCTCATTCATTCCTATGAGAGCTGCTCATTGGCGCATGATGATAAAATGGCCCAACTTTAGAGAGTGAAACGTCACAGATTACCCGTCATGCCTGAGAAGTACTCGTATGTCCGCTCATAGAGCATGCGCAACTTTAACCACGCCCCCCAAAAGGCTTGTTCACATTAAGCACGTCAATTTGCGTACACGTAACAGCACCGCGCGTTCATGACAGCATGGTAATATATTGTTATATGATGGATTTTGATATTAACGAGGCAGCCGCGGCAGTTAGCAGATAGCGGCTAGTTAGTAATTATGCTAATTTACACAACAATCGTTATGTACTTTTATATTACGCTGTAACAGGATCTAGTGATATCCAAGCAACAGAGCTTAATTTAGCATGATACTTGTGTGGGTTGTACATGAAACCACTTGGTAATATATAAAAATGAATGTATTTTGAAGCCTGTTATGATCAATTGTGAGTTCAATCTTATCTAAAAAGTAAAGCTGATGATGGATTATTACTGTGGTGGAGTTAAAATAACAATAGCCTATTTCTCTTTGAAATGTGATGGAGTAAAAGGATAGTAACTGTGATTATTCGTGTTAAGTAGCCCACAAGTAACTAAAATATAATACTTGAAGGAAAGGTGTAAAATGTTTCCATAAATACCAATATCACACACTACAACACAGACTATAACACCCCTTTTTGTTAAATACCAACCATATGTATATATATGCCGCTAAAATTGTGTAATATACCAGGCTGCTAAATTCTCCAAACTGTTACAGTCAGAACATGTAACATAATGCCGAGGAAAATAACTCTCAGAATAACGTTATTAGCACATTTTACAACTTGAGGACCAAATGTTTTTAATGAGGGCTATACAAACGTTCATACAGGGTAGTTTATTTAGTTTAAAAAAAATTATCCAACAATTTACAGGCCACTCTTTCCCAATGTTAGTCAATGGGAAAAAGTGTTTCCGGGCCCAGCAGCCTAAAGGAAGTGTAGTATCGCCGTTTGGCCACAACGAATATTCTCATCAGAGTCCGGCGCACTTCCTGGGGGCTTGACTAGGAAGGATCACTTCTTCTTCAGGGCAGGGAAGGCTACACAGTACGCAGGCTAATGTCCCGCAGCGGCTGCCTCTGGTGGTACTGCACATCACTTTTTTTTTTTTTTTTAAGTGAAACATCGGGGGCTTTTCAGAAAACATCCGGGGCTTGAGCCACCCCCTAGCGCCGCCACTGAGTTCCTGAGCTGTGGCTACTTGGCCCTCATGCTGTCCGGTGTATTCTGGTGTTACCCCCGTAAGGAAAGCAGGACCCAAACGCACTATAAAACAGGGGAGGCAAGTATTAGAGTTTAAAAAAAAGGCAATCTTTATTTTAGATAAAAAAACAAAATAAGGGAACAAACCAGGATGACATGAGGAAAAGGGAACAGCAAATCTTCAGGAAGAACACGAGGAACAAACCAGTAGCAGTAAACACGACAAGCTCAACAAAAAAGAAGAGGCAAGACAGTACGACGGACTGGGAAAGAACTTAAGGATAGACAGGCAGGAAAATTGACAGCTGCGGAGTATATGCAAAAAACACAAGGGTAACAGTTGAACAGAATCAGACACATTCACACTGGCGGAAAAACACAAACAGTAAAACAAGACAAGAAACCAAGAGAAAATACATTTAACCTGTTAAGCCCCGGCGGGGGCACAACACAACAATATTCACGAAACTGTGTCCCAGGGCTTCTTAACATTTAACAACCTATTAATGTGTCATACCCACTTAACGGGAAGAAACTCAGCTATCAGACAATATTAACCATGTTTAGCTAAACAAAACACAAGGGTAATAACAAGCTTCTGAATTAGCACTAAGCGAAAAAATGCTAACGCACTTAGCACAGGACTCACGGTAGCGATCTTGTATACTTCATGCAATCTGCACAAACTGGGTATCATATGAAAGCTGAGATTCCACAGATTCCAATGGTATAAGTATCATCACTGTGCGACCAGAACTCACGGCAGCAAAAGCCAGCAAAGACAACACACAACTTCACTTTACGGGGCCAAAACGGCAAATATGTCTTACCTGCTGTTTTCTGATCAAAAGTTGTGTTCAATGGCATTAAAACGCATACAAATGCTGCTGAATGTTAATCCAATGTATCTATGTCACTTTGAAATGATTACTGATAATCCATCATAACATTTATGTCAATAAACTGAGTTTCGTTATAGAGTGTATGAGAGCTTCCGGTTTTGGGCATGCTGGCTGCGCATCACTCTCATTCACCAATAGAGAACCGCAGTGACGCGTCCAAAAACCCGGAAGTAAGTTAGCATTTTAAGCACTTCCGGTTCCTTCGTCAAAAAGCAATGCATTTTTTCCATAGGGTTTTGGAAAATAGCTCGAAATAAGGTCTGTGGTTGACACAAATTTAAGAGATAAATCACGTTTTGTTCTACAACATTAAATACATCAGCAGTGACCCCACTGGTGATTTTTGAAGAGTTTACGTGTCTGAAAAACGATGGTTGTTACAGAGTGGCTGAATAGGACTACAGAAATTGTCGAAGCCGTTGTACGTCATTACGCCGAACACGTAAACACTCCCGCTAAGTTGGTTTTCCCCTGTGTTCTGCTTGAAAGCAAGTACATGCATATCTTTAGTATCTGTATATCTATATCTGACCATTAGAATCTCTATTTTTGAAATTGTCGTTTTTAACACCGTAGTTTTACAAATGATAGAATAATTAATTAACAGTGTTTTCCAATTTTACTCGGCAGTTCGTTTCGTTAGCTAACGTTAGCTAAAGCTAGCGCTACTAGTTAGCTACGCAATGGTTTGTTGCTTTGCTCCGGGTTGCAGCCACAGGTCTTCGCATGAAACGTGCTTGTTCTATCGTTTCCCGGCCAATGTTTTCCAAAGGAGAGTCTGGATTCGTGCCATGAGGTAAGCTGACGTTACATTTTTGTCCAGGTCACGGTGAAATGTAAATGATGGGTAGTGACTGTATCGCCGTTTTAGAGATGGCGCTGCTGAAAAGACCGCAACATAAGTAAAGATAATGAATACATCCTATTAAAACCTGTGTGGCTTATATGATAAGTCTAATTAGTACAAGCAGCATAACGTTTCACCATGTAACTAAAGATTGTAGTCAGGGAAATCAGTTTGACATATTGAACTAATAACAAATCACCTCTGGCTGGCAGAGAACTCTCTGCTCCATAGCTTCTCTTGGTACGTAAAATACACATGTACATTTTACATTTATATTCTAATTAATATCCCATCCCTCACATACTTTTGTATATATAATAACTTATATTTGTTTTTCGTGTTATTCTACTGCAACACAACATTTCCCAAATTGGGATCAATACAGTAATTTTCTTAATTAATTAAGGAATATAACTATTATAATTAGTGTAGCAGACTGACGCCTATTTTCAATATGGATTAATCTAACATCTATTTCTTTAGTTCAATTTTGATCTATAAAAATGTCAAAATAGTGAAAATGTTCACGAGACTTATCAAAGTGCAAGGTTATATCTTTAGATGTTTGTTTTAGCCTATGTACTGTATGTCTTAATGCTCTTATATGTGACGGGGTGACTTCCATGAAACTAATATTTTATATCTTCCCAACAGACGAGCTGAC